CACGTACATGAACGAAGTGGCATAGTGGCTCGCTATGGTTCCATACTACCGTCGCAAGATGAGAGGACCGAAGTGCCGAGGAGCAGCCAAATATAGTAAGCCATCAGGCCTTAGTTAAAGCACAGAGGATCACCGGAACATGTTGAGTCAGAAGAGGAATAATAGCGCTGTGAAAACGTGACAGATACATGCAGTAAATGAAAACCCTCTGGGCCTTAGTGATACACAGAAGACCATCGAACTGTACCACGCGTGATGAAAATAATAGTGTCGCCGAACTGCGGCAGATTCATTCAATCTAGGGCCACTGCCTGACAAATCAGTCTACAGTCTGAACAAAATCACCACTGGCTCCCACAGAGGGCCCTGACGCCCCTTTTTATGCCACTGTTTGGAAAATCGTCACCCATGATTTCCACACCCCCTTGTGTGAGTCCTGGAAAGCCCTTAAATTCATGCAGAAGACTGAGAAGAGCTTATCATTAGGGAACCCTCTGAGTTGGAGCTCCTTCACCAGTATGGCATCTGGGCCATCTGGGCTTGTTTGTTCCTGGTCATGGTCAACGTCGAGGTGGGACTACAAAGGTAAATTAGTAATTACTAATTACTAATTACAGAATGCCCTCCCGAACTGGCCAAACAGATTAACAAAATCGGAAGGTGGGGCAACGCTTTCACTTCCCTTATAGGCCGAGCGCTGGTGCTCAACACGTCGGTCTTCTCAATGATGTGGTACATTGCTTCTATCTGGACAGTTCCCGACAGCTCGATTAAGGAACTGAACAGACGAGCCAGGATATACCTATGGACAGGTGACCCTAACAAAGATAAGGGCATATCTAAGATAGCCTGGCAGTACGTCACAAGGGAACCACGAAATGGAGGCCTGGGAATCATTGACCCCGGAACTGAAACCAAAGCTCTCCAAATTAAATGGATCATCAAATTGCTGATGAATCCGGACAGCGCCTGGAACAATTTGGCACTGGACAGCATTAGATCGATAGCCCCRATTCCCTCCCCGAATGACATGTCCGGTCTGTATTGGGTAATGAACAAAGAATGGGTAATATCCACAGGTCGGAGAAATYGGACGAGGAATAACAGGACCAATGACCACCGGCCACCCAMCCCCTACTGGCCAGCACTGCTCCGATCGTGGAGGAAAATAATCCCTAATAAGATCAACAAACCCAAATCCAAGGATGAAGTMCTAAGACAACCGCTTTTCGGTRATGAATGGATARCAAACGAAGCCAATAACCCACTTTTCCTTGAACAAAAGTGGCTTTCTTGGATTAAAAATGGTATTTGGAAAATAGATCACCTGTGGATGGAGGACAAAAAAGATTGACACACCTCCTACTAGAGCCTATCAATTCTCTCACATACAGCAAGGCTCTCACACTAGAGCCATCTTTCATTCCTTCCCGGTCACCTTCTCTAATACGGACATGCCAGCTATTTTCAACAACAATGTGGAAACGTCGATACTGGATTTCTTCCTTCTCAGAAAAGTAAGGGTCCTAGGTACATGGCCAAAGGCAATTTTCAGACCGGACACAGCAATTCGATCCTTGGAGTTCGACCCAGCAGAGTGGGCCTGGAAACCAAATTCTACCAGCAACTTCAAGACAAAAGTCCCGATCCACGACTACTCAGTCCAACTGGGGTACAGACTGTCATTGAAAACCAAAAATCCAGATCCAATTATCAAAAACAGATGGCGGAATCTCGTGGGTCAGGAAGCAGACAAAATCACGCGAATCCACTGGGAAAAATTCAAACGCATCAGACCAATCAAGATCAGAAGTTTGCAATGGCTGATTGTGTACGCAGCTCTGCCAGTGAACCAATGGCTACATACTAGACGAAAAATCAATGACCCAAATAGCTCGGAATTATGTACAGTCTGCTCTGAAGGTTTGGTAGAAGACCTAGTACACTGCCTAGTGTTCTGCAAAGAAG